GAGTTAGAAGCACAAATTCATCTTATAGGTTATGATGGAGTAGTTATTGCCTGGCTACAAGCTGGGTATGACTGTGAGCTAAATATTCCAGGCTTTAAGATCCTTAGAAAGGACAGGGCAATTGGGAAAGGAGAAGTAGCATTATTGATAAAAAGGCAGAATTACATGCCCAATTCTCCAATCCAAAGGCACAATTCCCGAATATAGTGGAGTCCTGTAGCTCAGTGGTTAGAGCACTCGCTTCGCAAGTGAGAGACCTGCGTTCAATCCCAGGCAAAGGGCGAAACCTCGGGCAAGTTTCCTTACTCCACACAGAGCCTAATAATAATCCCTCCAACACCAAAAACAATAATAAAAATTGGTCATTTTCAATCCACGACTGTTTGTGGGACATTGCTGTGCGCAATTGGCTGCCGCGTTCGCCCACAAATATACAGTCAATTCACTTTACAGTGTGTTCTGTGAAGTGCTTTGGGACGTCCTCCCGACGTGAAAAGCGCTATATCAAATGCAAGGATTATTATTATTATTATAGTGAACTTTGGAAAATTATGACTAACGCATCTGCAATTCCCTCCCCTATTTCTTTTAATACCCTGGGGTGGAATCCATCAGGTTTCAGTAAGAGTGATCTGGCCTTGGAAACACTGGGTAGAATTTATGAACAGCAAAGGAGGTAAGACTGTAGTGGGAGTTGTGTACAGGCCTCCAGGTTGCAGTGATGTAGTGGGTGGGGGAGGGCTGGGGATGTATAAATATAGAGATCAGGGAAGCATGCAGGAAAAGCAATGTGGTTATAATGGGAGATTTTAATTTTCACATAGACTGGGAGAAGTAGAACAGCACAAGCAGTAAAGGCAACACTTTTCTAGAATGTAGTTTTCTGGAATAATATGTTTTAGAACCGACAAGAGAACATGCCATCCAAGATTTGGTGTTTGGTAACAGACCGGAATAAGTTAACCATCTGATGGTAAGGGAACATCTAGCAAATAGTGACCATCATATGATTGAATTTGATATAAGGCTTGAGAGGGAGAAGATAATGGGTAAACCCACAGACATACAGTGGGAAGCATTCAAACACGAATATGGTACAATACAAAACCAGTGCATATCCCTAAAACACAAACGCTCCACTTGTGTAGTTTAACAACCAAGGTCGACAAATGAGGTCAGAGTTAGCATCAAACTAAAAGAAAAGGCTGACACTAATACAAGAAAAAGTGGAAATGCAGCGGACTGGGAGAGCAACAAGATACAAAGAAAGTAATAAGAGGTACAAAATGCGAATATGAGATATATAAGTTTATTAAGAGAAAGAGAGTGATAAAAGGGGAATGTGGGCCTATTAAAGACAGATGTAGGTGAGACTATAATGGACAATAAGGAAATGGCAGCCTTGTTGAATAAATACTTTGCTTCTGTTTTCAGAGTAGAGAAAGAGGACAAAATCCCAGTGGTACAAGCGAACCTAAGAATAAGCCAAAGAGAAATACTCTATGCTTTTTATATAAATTTAAAAATGGTAAATATAAAATAATGAGACTAAGGATAAACAAATCTCCAGGATCTGATGGATTCCATCCCAGGATATTAAATGAAATAGGGGATGGAATTGCAGATGCATTAGTCATAATTTTCCAAAGCTCACTATATTCGGGAATTGTGCCTTTGGATTGGAGAATTGGGCATGGAAAAGAGAAGATTGAGAGGCGACATAATTGCTATCTTTAAGATTCTAAAAGGGCAAAACAATATAGATCATAACAGGCTGTTTGAACTTGTCCAGAATAGTAAAACCAGAGGCCAGACATGGCCTACGATTGAATCATTCAGAATGATTCTACGCAAACACTATTTCAGTGAGCGAATAGTAAAGCTGTGGAACAGGGTCCCTAGGGAGACGGTTGAAGCAGGAAGTGTTGACTCTTTTAAACGCAGATTAGATTCCAATTCATGAGCCAGCCGGGTCCACATTACTCTAGGGCACTCACTGCTGATGGCTCATCGGCAGGACCTGGAACGGCAGACAGTCATGGGAGGGCAGGGAGTCATCCCATTCAAGTCCTGTTAACCCTGCAGCCAAAGCCCCAATACATAGGGTGGTCCTAGCTTGACAAGCATCGTGAAAGCTTGCCGGACAGCGATATCAATGGCAAGCTGTGTGTGGGTTTAGCTGGTTAGACTTCAGCAGTTACCTCAACATACATTCTGGGCTCCCCAACCCTTGACTCTTGCCAACCTGCGCCTAATACTTTCCGGAATTAGGTAAGCAGGATGTGAATCTTCAGGGAAAGTGCGCATTCCATTCAACAATCTATCTCTGGGATTTCCTTGCATGGAATACTCAGCTTGGTTTGGATACTTTTCAGCATGGTGATGGGTTTCCACATGTGTCAGACACCCAGCTGACCCAAAAAAAAAATCACTGTCTGAGGAACTTCCTTTAACCCAACTCTTCACTTTCTGAGCTCCATTTCTCTATATGTCTCACACATCCCCCTTAATTCCACGCCAGATATTGTTGCTATAATCCCTATATGGAACTGTATTGAATGTTTGAGTGTTGAATTATTCTCTGTAATTCTATGAACCACAGAACCCATACTCGTCTCGCCTACGAGAGGACCCGGCTTCGATATCATCACACTGGCATCATCCCCTTTTGAAGCAGAAAATCACTTAGATTAGTTCTTTCCATGACTTGCCATTAACAGTGCAGTTCCTTTTGAAACCTCCCACTCACCAATCACCCTCTTCCATCCACCCAAACTCTACCGACTTTACAGAGTTACTGTATTACTCAGAAAGTGCTTGAGGTCAGGCCACAGAAGCAGCTCAGCGCAATAATGGGAAAATGGATGAGGTCAAATTGGTTAAAGCGATTTTATCGCCAAACCTTACTTTGGGAAATGTTGTGAACCAAAACTGAATAACAGCCAAGAACAAAGCAGTAGAGGGAAAGCTACATAAACGGTTCATTCGGCCACAATTGGGGGTTTGTGTTAGGTTCTTACCCCGCACTTTAGTAGTAACTATAGAGGGTAGAGATTCACTGGAGCAACAACAATCCTTGCATTTGATACATCTGGGTCTTATCTAATTGCTGAATTGTGTCAAAGCACTTCCCAGGATTTTATGTAAAATGTTCTCATTGGGAGGGGAGGCAGGGGGGGTAAGCAGGGTCTCCTCAGAGCTGAACTGGCTCCAGGATGACCTGTCTGTCAACTGAATCTCAGAATCGAGTCAGCCTCCCGTGGCAGTCTCCAGTCCTGAGCGAGACGGGTCTGCAGGGTTCCAGAGCACAGCCAGCCTGGCTCATCGGTAGGACTTGGAAGGCCAAACCAGTCACTGAGGGCAAGGAATTCATCCCACTCAGATACTGTTAAAGCTGCAAGCCAAAGCCTTAAGAGGTAGGGTGGTCCTAGCTGAACAATAATATAATAATCCTTGCATTTCATATAGCGCCTCAAGACCCTCCTCTTCATCCATGCCATTGGTCACCCCCTTCCCCTCCCCTCTCTTCTCCCCCCCCCGACCCCAACTCAGGTCTGAAATGCTGTCACTGTCCAGCGCCTTGGGACGTCCTCCCGATGTGAAAGGCGCTATACAAATGTAATCTTCTTGTTGTTTCACGTCTTTGAGAATATGCTGTAAAGTGAATTGACTGTATATTTGTGGGCGAAATGCGGCAACCAATTGCACACAGCAGCGTCCCACAAACAGTCATAGTTTGAGCAACCAAATTATTACTGTTTTTTTTTCTTGAGGGATTATTATCAGGCGTGTGGAGTAAGGAAACTTGCCCAAGATTTTGTCCTGCCGGGAATCGGGTCTCTCGCTTGCGAGGCAAGTGCTCTAACCAACGAACTACTCTATGACAAGCAGCAGGAAAGCTTGCCAGACAATGACCAGCTATGCGGTTTTACCCGGATAGACTCCAGCAGTTACCCCAACACACACTCTAGGTCCCCAAGCCTTGGCTCCTGCTAACCTACACCTAATACTTTCCGGAATTAAGTAAACAGGATGCGTCCTAACATAGAGAGAGAGAGCGCATTCCATTCCAGAAATCTATCTCTGGGATTTCCATGTGTAGGTGGGATGCATGGAATTCTCAAGTTTGGTTTGGATACTCTTGACCATGTTGATGGGTTTCTGGCTGAAAAATAGTAAAATGTTGAGACTGTGCATTTGTAGGCAACATCGGGGATGAAGCTTTATTAGGAGGAAAGATGAGAGGAATTGGGCACTTTAACAGAACAGAGAAGGCTGAGAGGAGACCTGATAAGAGTTGTTCAACATTACGAGCGGCTTTGATAGGGAGAAAACATTTCAACTAGTCGGTGAGGACACTTGCCCTAATGTAGCAACATCAGCACTAATATAGCAGCTCAAATCACAGTGCAACTGGGCTCCAATTCCATTAAGTAGACAAAAAAGGAGTTTGGTCTCACACTGTAAACAGCATCAAAACCTACAGACATTTCTCCACAAGATCTTTAAGAGCCACATATCCTGTATTGCTGACTTGACAAGCAAAATAGTCTGGTACTGTCTCCTTAGGATACAATTTCCTGTAATCTAATATCAGCAATGTTGAGTAACAAACAGAATATTAACACCTGTAAAATATTTTGTTAACTGTTTTAATGTAATTTAGAAATACATTTTGATATGGTAGTCTTACACAACCTCGGGTAATGATCAGTTCCTCTCCAAGCTAAAGGCTTTTAACAGAAAGTAACCACTTTACAGCTCAGAGCTGAAGGGAAGGGGAGCCAGGGGACAAGTATTGTTCGGTTTTGGTTTCAGAAGTCTCAACTATTCAGTGTGAAGAAAACTACCAGCAGTCTAAGACAGACAACTACAGAGACAGAAAAAACAATGTGACCTAGAAAAATCCAGCCCCACAATCCATGGAGTGTTTCTCAAGAAATAAACAGAAAGGAATTGCAGATTTGTTTTTAAATAAGGAAACATTACATACTAATTGCTTCTGTGCTAAAATTTAATTATTAGATTTCCGCTTCCAAGGCTTGCTGCCAAAGCAAGTACACAGTTAAAAGGGAAAGCACACTTTACAGCTCAGACATCTCCCCAGCATCTCCCTGGTTTCTTTTTCTCAAATTAACCAAACAAGATACCTGGGTTTTTTAAGAACAACAATATTGTGTACAAAAAAAAACGAGCTGCGGGACTGTGTGAACACACACACACACGCTCAACTCTTCACAAGAACCGTTCTTCTTTAAAAAAAAGCACAATACAAATTGCAGTAATACCATTGGGAAAATGAAACACGGACCCATTGCCAAAGTCCACTGAGGTGAAGCCTGTCATTACCGCTGCTTTGAGATATCATCCTGTTGAATTCACGTCTTCTAAACTGCAAAACCTCTGCCCTCTACGTCATTATCCACCAGAACAGAAAGGTGAGAGATACTGGCAACAAGTGAGATCCCCAACCCAGAGCTTTGTGCACACTGGCTGTGAAGAACAGACCGGTCCCATTGGAAAACTGTGAGAAATGTCTTGCTGAACCATCCAGAAACAAAGAGAACAAGTTTCACTCATCAATATGATGAGCCTCTGTCTCCTCAACTGAAAACCAACAGTGTCTCAGTCTACTGGTGTGAAAGCGCCTCATCCAGACAGAACACTAGGCTACGAAGGCACACACTGCTAGATAGTTGTGCTGGGTCCAGTCTGGAGTCCTCCTGCAACACTGGCTGAGACAAACACTGGTCTGGGGGATCCACACAAGTGCTGCAAGACCTGGAGCAGAAGCCTTGCAAGCGGTTGGGTTCAGATGTCGCTATGTGCTTCCTGTCGTCTGTTTGTCATCTGTGTCACATTGACCTGCGGCAGCAAGAAAACAACAATCATTTAGTGCTGGTCAGTTATACAGGTACATGTCACAGTCTACACACACACCCTTGGGTACACACACACACATACACCCCTGGGTACATAAACACACCCCTGGGTACACACACACACCCCTGGGTACATACACATACCCGTAGGTACGCACACACAAACACACACACAAACAAAAATACACCCCTGGATACACATACATCCCTAGGTAAGTACACACACACCCATACCCCCTGTGGGTACTCACACTCACACCCCTGGGTTCGCACACGCGGGCCCCTGGGTTCACAAATGCGCGCTCCTGGCTTCACACACGCGCGCCCCTGGGGTACACACACAAGCACCCCTGGGGTACACACACAAGCACCCCTGGGGTACACACACACACATGCACCCCTGGGTACACACACATGCACCCCTGGGTACACACACACACATGCACCCCTGGGTACACACACATGCACCCCTGGGTACACACACATGCACCCCTGGGTACACACACACACACCACTGGGTATACTCACATACACCCCTGGGTATACACACACACCCCTGGGTACACACACACAGACCCCTGGGTACACACACACCTGGGTACACAAACGCACCCCTGGGTACACACATACACCCCTGGGTACACACACAGACACATACACACGCCACTGGCTACACTCACATACACATACACCCCCGGGTACACATGCACACCTCTGGGTACACACACACCTGGGTACACACACTCACAGCCCTGGGTACACACACTCACAGCCCTCGGTACACACACTCACCCCTGGGTACACACACACACACCCCTGAGTACACACATACACCCCCCTCGGTACACACATACATCCCCTGGGTACACACACACACACCTGTGGGTACATACACGCACATCCCTGGGTATACACCACATACCCCTGGGTACACACTCACCTCTGGGTACACACACATCCCTGGGAACACACACACACCTGGATACACACACACCCCTGGGTACGCACACACCCGCCCAAGTACACACACACACACGGGTACACATGCACACCTCTGGGTACACACACACAGACCCCTGGATACACATACACAGACCCCTGAATACATACACACCTGGGTACACAAACGCACCCCTGGGTACACACATACACCCCTGGGTACACACACAGACACACGCCACTGGGTACACTCACATACACATACACCCCCGGGTACACATGCACACCTCTGGGTACACACATACCTGGGTACACACACACATAAACCTGGACACACACACACACCTGACTACACACATACACATAACCCTGGGTGTACACACACACCCCTGGGTACACACACACACACCTGTGGGTACATACACGCACATCCCTGGGTATACACCACATACCCCTGGGTACACACTCACCTCTGGGTACACACACATCCCTGGGAACACACACACACCTGGATACACACACACCCCTGGGTACGCACACACCCGCCCAAGTACACACACACACACGGGTACACATGCACACCTCTGGGTACACACACACAGACCCCTGGATACACATACACAGACCCCTGAATACATACACACCTGGGTACACAAACGCACCCCTGGGTACACACATACACCCCTGGGTACACACACAGACACACGCCACTGGGTACACTCACATACACATACACCCCCGGGTACACATGCACACCTCTGGGTACACACATACCTGGGTACACACACACATAAACCTGGACACACACACACACCTGACTACACACATACACATAACCCTGGGTGTACACACACACCCCTGGGTACACACACATACCCTTGGGTACACACACTCCTGGGTACACACATACAGAACCCTGGGTACACACATACACTTACACCCTTGCGTACACACATACACTCACACCCCTGGGTACACACACACTCACATCCTTGGGTACACACACACACCCCTGGGTACACACACACACACCCCTGGGTACACACATACACCCCCCTGGGTACACACACACACACACACACCTGTGGGTACATAAACGCACATCCCTGGGTACACACACACCTCTGGGTACACACACACCCCTGGGAACACACACCCCCGCCCAAGTACACACACACACAGGTACACATGCACACCCCCAGGTACACATGCACACCTCTGGGTATAGACACACCTAGGTACACACACGCCTGCATACACAACACACACACACACACATGGGTACACCCACACACACAACCCTGGGTTCACACACTTACAGCCCTGGGTACACACACTCACAGCCCTGTGTACACACATACACACACACAACCCTGGGTACACACATACACACACAGCCCTGGGTACACACTCACACAGCCCTGGGTACACACACACACCCCTGGGTACACACAACACACATCCCTGGGTACACACGCACACATCCCTGGGTACACACGCACACAACCCTGGGTACACACACACAACCCTGGGTATACACACACACAACCCTGGGTATACACACACAAACACACCCCTGGGACACACACTGCTGGATACACACAAATACACCCCTGGGACACACACCCCTGGGTACAGAGACAGACACACACATCCTGGGTACACACACACCCTGGTCTGATAACGCAATGACTGTAATCGGTCACTAACGTGCTCTGGAACGCCACCCGGGATGTATAAATGCAAGTTGTTGTTGTTGCTCACCACTCGATGTCGCAGGGACGATAACGCCATCATCATCATCATCTTCATCACTGTCCTCCTCATTTAATCGCGTCGCTCCCGATTCTGAGACTGTGCACAGTGGCTCCAATTCCTGTTCAGAACGACTCCGCAATGCCAAAATCCGGTGATGTAGTGCTGAGTACAGTTGCCCCGCGTCCTTGGAGCTGGCCTGGGGGGGGGGGGGCACATTAATACTGACCACTGCACCCCATCTTCACTGAGAGTCTCAAAGTGCCCGACGGACGTCAGTGTTGTGGCTCACGGACATTCCAATGGACAGATGTGAAGTGACCGTGTGCACAAATCACCGGCCCCTCCCCCCACTCCAGCCCCTCCCCCTGCTCCAGCCCCTCCCACTGCTCCAGCCCCTCCCCATGACACCAGCCCTCCCCCCACTCCAGCCCCTCCCCATGACACCAGCCCCTCTCCAGCCCCTCCCCACACTCCAGCCCCTCCCCCTGCTCCAGCCCCTCCCCATGACCCCAGCCCCTTCCCCCACTCCAGCCCCTCCCCATGATTCCAGCACCTCCCCCGTCAATGATTCCAGCCCCTCCCCCTGCCCATGACCCCAGCCCTTTCCCCCACTCCAGCCCCTCCCCATGATACCAGCCCCTCCCCCTGCCCATGATACCAGCCCCTCCCCCCACTCCAGCCCCTCACCCCAGGATCAGAAGGCTGTGAGGTGTGGCATTGGCCTGAGCTCAGTGGTGTCCGGGGGGGGGGGGGGGGGGCTGGCGGTGTGCATTGTCACAGCATTGGCTCTCACCAAAACTTGCATCGAAAACTCGCCAGAAACTCTAAAGCCCGAGCTTGGGCTTCTGCATGTGTCTGACACCCGGCTAACCAGATACGTCCACTAGAGTTGAGGGAAGGTTTCAGCCACTAGTCCCGGCCTTTAATACCGGAACCTCGCGGGTTTTCGGCACTTTGGGTCGTCCTCTTGACGTGAAAGGCTCTATAGAAATATAATTTGTTGTTGTTCTGTGTAAAACGTGTGTTGCTGAAGTTGAGCTTATAGGATCAGCTGTAAAAAAGCTGCCAACCTTTCACAGAGAGAGGGGTCAGTGGAGGGAGGGGGGGGTCAAGGGGAGAAAGATGGGGGGTCGGAGGGGGAAAGAGAGGTCGGAGGGGGGAGAGAGGTGGGGGGGGGAAGAGAGAGGTCGCGGGGAGAAAGAGGTCAGGGGGAGAGAGAGGTCGGGGGGGAGAGAGAGAGAGAAGTTGGGGGGGAAAGAGAGGTCGGGGTGAGAGAGAAGGGCTTGGGGGAGAGAGAGGGGCCGGGCGGAGAGAGAGGCACCGGGGCAAGAAAGAGAAGGGGCGGTCAGGGGCAGAAGACAAAGGGGTAAGGAGGAGAGAGAGGGAAGGGTCGGGGGGGAGAGAGAGCGAGGGATTAGGGGGAGAGAGGGTTCAGGGGAGAGAGAGAGGGGTCAGAGGGAGCGAGAAGGGGGTCGGGCGGAGAGAGAGATTGGGGTCAGGGGGAGAGAGAGTCAGGGAAAGAGGGGTCAGGGAGAGAGAGTGGGGTCAGGGGAGAGGGAGCGGGGTCACGGGAGAGAGAAAGAGGGGTCAAGGAGAGAGAGTGAGCGGGGTCAGAAGGAGAGAGGGAGGTTGGATAAAGAGCGAGGGGTAAGAGGGAACGAGGGGGATCAGGGGAAGGGAGAGAGGGGTTTGGAGGGAGAGAGAGGGGTCTGGAGAAGAGAGAGGGGGGTCGGGGGGAGAGAGGGGGATTGGGAGTAGAGAGGGGGATCGGGGTGAGAGGGGGATCGGGGGGAGACTTCCGATTGAGGAACATCCCAGTGGTTTGCTTAGCCCTTTTCCTGAATGATTAAACGTTTTTTGAACAGCACAACAGAGTGGGAACCTTTGCTCCTCTCTCACGCAAGTTCCTTCTCAGAGTGTGGCTAGGTACGAGACAGACAGACATACCGAGATGAGGAAGACTTTGACCCCCTGGTCCTCAGCATCCATGGCTGTGATGCGTATGCTCTTCTCACTGGCTTTGTCAATCTGCATCTGGGCCCACAGCTTAGTGTTGAGGATCAGGCGCAGGCTGCCCTGGGTCCGCATCACTGCCAACACAAAACATACAGCCCTGTAACAGCATCAGGGCTTCATGTACATTCCCAGTCAACCCCCACCCACCACCCTATACACACACACAGCACCCCCCACACATAGCACCCCCCACACACACAGCCCCCCCATGCGCATCCCCCCACACACACAATGCCAGGCCTTATCTCCCCCTCACCCACCCACAACCACTCCCTTCTCTTTTTCAACAGTGCCATGGGATCTTTAATAGGCTAAATAGCCTTTGGGTCCTTGGTTCAATGTCTCATCTAAAGACAAAGCAGTGCTCTCCCACCACTGTAATGGAGGGTCAGCCTGGGCTGTTGACAATAAACCTGCTGCTGGTTTGGGCGAGTACTGCACTCCATCACTGCATTGGCTTCATATTCACATTGCAGTTGGTCCCAATTAAGTTTGGATATTATGATCTCTACTGTAAACGGAGAGCAGGTGGGAGGTCCTGCCACAGAGTTAGAGCAGAAGACCTCTGTGATAAATAACACTGCCGGTCTGGGCTGGGGGGTGGGGGGGAACTTAAAAACAATCAGAGAAACCTCAGCAGGATTTTGAATGTTTTCTAGAATACCTGCAGGATTGAGAAGATGGGAATTGTTTAAACTTCAAAGGAAGTAAGAACTCGCGCTTACAGGAAACTCAACATTTCTTAACTAACCCGCATAGGCAGGATCCCAGAGCCTGCCGTGTGTGTGAACTCATACCTAGCCTGGACTGCAACGTCCCATCCTCAGTAGACGCCATGTCATTGAGTCTAAGGAGACCTCGTCCTCTCTCTACCCAGGACTGTGAGGTCTTGTCAAACACAAAAAGCTTGCATTGCATCTGAAATCATAAGGAATATGTTGAAGTAAAGCAGATGGCATGTGTTCACACTCAGCATAGAACACCAGACACCCCATCCCAGAGGACAGACTTGGGAAGGCGGTTCTGTAAGTGGGAGCTGTTCGTAGTGAAATATAAAAAGTACATTTTGTTTGTAAGAATCTTTGTCTCCCACTTGTCTCTATGTACCTTTATCCTTCTCTCCCTCACTGCCTGCCTCTGTCCCTCTCTCCGTGTCTATTCCATGCCCGTGTGGTTTGTTCTGTCTGTGTCTTACTCTGTCCGTCTCTCTTTTATCAGTCTTTCTCTATGAATCTTTTCTTCTCTCCGTTTCCTCACTGCCCAATCCACCCCCTTCCGGTGGCCAAGCCTTCAGCCCCTCCCCCTCAGCCCCTTCCAGCCCCACCCCCTCAGCCCCTTCCAGCCCCTCCCCCTCAGCCCCTTCCAGCCCCTCCCCCTCAGCCCCTTCCAGCCCCTCCCCCTCAGCCCCTTCCAGCCCCTCCCCCTCAGCCTCACCCAAAGTCACCTCCCATTTTGATTATTCCCAGCTCAACTATCCACAAAATTCAACTAATCCAGAACTCTACCGCCCGTACACTCACCCGCTCTATAAATTCCATACCCCGATCGAACCAGCCCTCGCCCCGGCTCCACTGCCTCCCTATCACAGAACGATTAACTTTCTCACCCTTGTCTACAAATCCAAAATTTGGGAACTCTGCCCCCGCCTTCCCCTTTTTCAGATCATGTCTGAAGATCATCCTCTTCATACAAGTTGCTGTTGTTGCTTCACCCTCCTCTCAGTCGGTCTTTAAATCCCACCTGAAATCAATCGCTTTGACTGTACCGTGGTTATCTCCCCCTCCTTCCTAATCAACGTGTGATCCCATCTCTCTGGAATGTTCTGTGACACGTAAATGCAAGTTGTTGTTAACATTTAAAAATACTGCCTACAAAATACAGTTACTACACTTTATAGTAAATCTTGTGAAGTATTTTGAGATATTCTCCTGGCGTGAAAGTCATAATATCAAATGCAAGGATTATTAAAACATAAAGGAATCACTTTAGGGGTTATGGGAAGAAGGCTGTTAAACAGAACTGAATGAATTGTTCTTTCAAAGTCAGCACTGACAAGAATGGCTGAATGGCCTACAGTGCTCCAGGTGTCCACGGTTCTACAACAGAGAATCTTAAATATTTCACCTCAGTATTTTCTGAAGTTTGGACAATAGTAATACTAGTAATAACAGAAGTATATTCTGTAAAGCACTTTGAGTCGTGTAGAAGATGTGAAAAGCTCTATATCAAATGCAAGGATTATTATCATTATTATTATAAGAGAATCTCTCTCCCATACACACAATTTCATTCTATTAGATCATGGCTGGTCTGTACCTCAACTCCAATTACCTGTCCTTGCCCCTAACCCTTGATAACCTGATCTAACAAATATCTGTCCACCTCAGTCTTGAAAACGTGAATGGATTCAGCATCCCCCACCTTTTGGGGGAGAGGGTTCCAGATTTCAACTAGCCTTTGGATGAAAAAATGCCACTGATTTCACCCCGAAATGGCCTGGCTCTAATTTTAAGATGATGCCTCTTGTTCTGGATTCCCCACCAGAGGAAATAGTTGCTCTGTCGCTGCCCTATCCAATCCCTTTATTATTTTAAACACCTCAAGCAGACCAGCCTCAACTCAAGGGAATACGATACAAACCCTGTGTGGGGGGGCCGCCCCGTGTGAGGGGCTATATAAGTACCGGTCTGCCATCCACTACCATCCATAAAATCCAAATCATTCAGAACTCTGCGCCCGCATTCTCATCCGCACGAAACTCCGCTCCCCGATCACCCCAGTCCTTGCCAGACTGCACTGGCTATCCCAGAGAGGATCGACTTCAAGGTCCTCACCCTTGTATTCAAGTCCCTGCACTCCTCTGCACCCCCCGACCTCTCTGACCTCTCTCCTCACAACAGTACCCATTGCCTTCGTTCAGAACATAACATGTAGGAACAGGAGGAGGCCATTCGGCCCTTCGAGCCTGCCCCGCCATTCAATCACGGCTGATTTAATCTAACTCCAGCTAATAGCCTGACCCCGCCTCATCCCCATATCCCTTAATCCCTTTTGCAATGCGAAACATATCTATCTCAGTCTTGAATATGTTCAAGGACTGAGCGTCAACAGCCCTTTGGGATAGTGAGTTCCATCCATTCACTGCCCTTTGAGTGAAGAAGTTCTTCCTCAACTCAGTGCGAAAGGGCTGCCTCTGATTTTAAGGTTGTGACCCCTGGTTTTAGTTTCTCCAACCGGGGAAACAATCTCCCACTATCTACTCTATCATTGCCCTTTGATGATCTTATAGGTTTCTATAAGATCACCTCTAATTCTTCTGCATTCTAGAGAATATAGGCCCAAATTGGTCAACTTATCCTCGTAACTCAACCCCTTCATCCCTGGTACTAACCCAGTAAATCTATCCTGGACCCCCTCTAAGGCAAGTACATCCTTCCTTAAATAAGGAGACCAAAACTGCACACAGTATTCCAGGTGTGGTCTCACAGGGCCCTATACAGTTGCAGCGAGACTTCCCTACTCTTATACTCTAATCCTTTCGTAATGAACGCTAACACACCGTTCGCCTTCCTAATTGCTGCTGCACCTGCAGACTAACTTTCTGTGATTGGTGTACAAGGACACCCGAGTCCCTCTGGACGCCAACACATTCCAATCTCTCCCCTTCTAAAAAATAACCCGTTCTCCTGTTTTTGCTCCCGAGGTGGATGACTTCGCACTTCCCTACGTTATAATTCATCTGCCACCTACCTGCCCAATCACCTATCTATGTTTTGCTGCATTTTTTTAATGTCGTCCTCTGTGTTGACACTTCCTCCTAGTTTTGTGTCATCCACAAATTTAGATATATTAACTTCGATGTCCTTGTTTGTGCGCGCGCAAACAAACAAAAAAAAAACCTTTGCGGCCACCCAGGGACCACCATGGTCCTGTTGGGTTGGCTGCCCCAGCCCATGGGCTAGTGCCATCCACCTGACCGCTTTCTCCCTGTCCCCGCATGCGCATTATGGCTGCCGCTCTGCCCCCTCACCCCCTCCCTCCCAACCCTCTCCTCTCTCCTCCCAAACCCCAAACCCTCCCCCCTCTGCATCTCTCCCGCTCTGTCCTCCTCTCTCTCCGTCCCTCTCGCCTTCTATCCCCACTTGACTCTCCCACAACCTCCCTCTGTTCCACCCTGGGAACCCTCCGCCGGGCTCACCGCGGCACTCGCCGTTGGCTGTCCAGCAGCAGCCACACCGACTGCCCCATTCCCCACCACACTCGCCAGCCACCCCGGACACAGACCCGGGGAGCCAACCTCACCTCCCTCATCCCCATTCTCCCCACCCCTGGCCCACAGCCCGGACCCCCCTCCCTCCCCACACACCCTTCTGTCAACCGCTCCCTCCACTTCGGACTACAAAACGTCTGCTCCCTCTGTAACAAGGCCCTGGTCATCAACGATCTCATCCTTGATGAGAGCGTTGACATTATGGCCTTAACGGAAACCTTCCCCCTCACGGAGGCTACACCACGCACTACACCTCCCACCACATCCCTCACCCCAACCGCCGCGGCGGTGTGTACCCTTATCTCAAGGACACCACTTGCCCTCTCCCCCTACTCCTCTGGCTCTTTCCCCTCTTTTGAGCACCTCACCCTCTCCCACCCCTCCTTCCTCTCACTCAAAATCCTCCTCCTCTACCGGCCCCTAAAACCTCTCCCACCTTCATCTCCGATATTTCTACCCTACTAACATCTCTCTGCCTCTGCTCTGATCGCCTCATCATCCTGGGCGACTTCAACCTGCACTTCACCCCCTCCTGCTCCATCTCCTCGGACTTCTCCTCCCTGTTCTCCTCACTCAACCTCTCCCTCCACATCAACTCCGCCACTCACAGTCACGGCCACCCACTCGATTTGGTGATCACCCGGGGCCTCAGTGTCACCATTACCAACAAGGCCGTCTCCGATCACCACTTCATCTCCTTCACCACCTCCACCCCCCCTCCACACCTCCACCAGACCCACCACCATCTTCTACCACCTCTGGAAGAAGTTACCCCCACAATCCGTAACTACTGCCTTGGAGTCCTCTGAACTCCTTCCCTATGGCCTTCATCCCTCACTGACCCCTCTTCTGCTCTCACCCTCCTCCACAACACCCTCTCCTCCACACTCAATACTCTTGCCCCCATCACCTCCCGTACTGTCTCCTACTCTCGCTCCTCCCCCTGGTTCACCACCCACCTCCGCTCACTGAAGAGCCAGGTGCGGGCCGATGTCACCAATGACATCCTGACCATCTGTGACCAGAGCTCCCTCTGCCTCCTCATCCTCCTCGACCTATCGGCAGCATTCGATACGGTCGACCACGCTATCCTCCTCCACCACTTGTCCTCCCACCTCAACCTTCAAGGCCCTGTCCTTGAGTGGTTTAGGTCGTACCTCTCCCACCGTCTTCACTTTGTTTCCACAAATGGCTTTTCCTCCACCCCCCGCACTGTCTCGTGCGGTGTCCCTCAGGGCTCTGTCCTCGGTCCCCCCCTCTTCACCCTCTATATGCTCCCCCTGTGGTGACATCATCCGTAGACATGGAGTTAACTTCCACACGTATGTGGATGACACCCAACTCTACCTTTCCTCCTCTACCCTCAACTCCACGACTTAATAATGTTCCTAGCTAGCTTACCCTCATACTCCTTTTTCACGCTCTTAATGAGTTTAGTTTCATTTTGCTGGTTACCTCCGGGTCTGGCTTCCTCCGCGTCCCCCGAGTCTTCCGCTCCACCCTCGGCGGCCGTGCTTTCAGCGACTATGCCCCGAGGCTCTGGAACTCCCTTCCTCATCCCGTCGCCTCGCTCCCTCTCTTCCCATTTTCAGGTCTCACCTTCCTCCCCCTCCCCCCCGGCTCCTCCCCCTGGCTCCTCCCCCGGCTCCTCCCCCTGGCTCCTCCCCTGGCTCCTCCCCCTAGGCTCCTCCCCCCAGCTCCACCCCCCTCCCCCTCCTCCCCCCGGCTCCTCCCCCTCCCCCCAGCACCTCCCCTCCCCCCAGCTCCTCCCCTTCCGCCCCGCTCCTCCCCCTGGCTCCTCCCCTCCCCCCAGCTCCTCCCCTCCCCCCCCCCCGCTCCTCCCCTTCCCCCCCAGCTCCTCCCCCTCCCCCCGGCTCCTCCCCCTCCCCTTGGCTCAGCCCCGGGATCCGTTACTGTGAAGCGCTCTGAGACGCCGTTCGGCGTGGAGGGCACTATATAAATTCAAGTTGTTGTTGTTGCTGCAAGTTGTTGTTGTATTCCCGGTCAGTGGTCCTCTCCTACCACCCTCCCCGGCTCCTCGCCTTCCTGGACCTCCCTCTGTGGCACACATCGCTAAGTGTCTGACAACAGCCACCCTGACTGCCCAGCCCACATTTTCACCACAAAGCCCACTGATCCCAGCTCCCGAGCATAAACCTCTCTTCCCTCATCCACATCCCCACCCTTCTTGTCAATCCTCCCTCGTCCTGCATATTCCTCTGTTGCCTGTCCCCTCCACTTTGCTCTGCAAACTGACTGTTCTCTTCCAACAAAGCCCTGTCCACAGATCACTTTCCTGACGAAAACATTGACATTTTTGCTCTCACTGAAACCTGTGTCACTCTCGGCAACACCTTCCTCCTCACTGAGGCAATCCCACTTGGTTTCACCTATCACAACCCAACCGAACCATCGTGGCAGTGGTGTAACTCTCATCTCCAGGTCTCAGGAACCTTTTCCTCCTTTGAGCACCTCAATCTTTTATCATCCCTCCAATCTCTCCCTAAACTTTCTCCTTATCTATCGTTTCCCCCAAACCCTCCAGCTCCTTTCTCACCAACATCTCCACCTTCTAACTTCCCTGACTCTGCTCCGACACCTCCTCTTCTTGGGTGACTTTAACCTTCATTTCTCTTTGATTTCTCCTCCCTTCTCTCAATCAATCCTTCCACATTAATTCCGCCACCCAACCTCACGGTCACCCCCTTGCTGATGAGCCAACGCCTCTCGGACATCACCTTCATCCACAAAGGCATCTTAGACCAGTACTTCATTTCCCTTAACTCCTCCATCCCACTCCCCACCAACCAACCTACTTCCTTCTGCACCGACAGAAGCATAATCACGCCCATTCCCTCTCTGTTGAAGTCAGATCATTTGAACCCCTGCCCCTCTGACCCAATTCCCACAATGACCTTACATCCTTGGTCACTGTCCTTCATAACATCCTCAATAATGTCCTCAACACCCTCGAACCCATCACCTCCCTCTTCCTTCCGTTGTTGCCCTGGTACACCAGCCATCTCCGCTCCCTCAAGTCACAGGTAGGTGCCGCTGAATTTACCTGGCTCAAATCCAACACAATGGCCCAACAGTTGGATTTGGCTGGATTGCATCAAAGCTCTGCCCTCATCTCAGCCAAATCGCTCGATCATCTACTCCAGGATCAACTTGGAGATCAAGGACAACCCCAAGTTTCTTATCTCCACCACCAATCACCACCAAATGCGAGATGATCTCTCTCTCAAGTCCAAAATGGAGAGGATCCGCTCTGCTGCCTCTGCCTTTGCTGCTGCCACCCCCTCGCCTCCGGCCTCCACATAGACAATATCTTTTTCATCCCTATCTTTTGCACGTGTTCCCTACCATCCTGACTCCCTAGCATCACCTTCATGCCCTTCCTGCTAACAGACATCATCAACTTCTCTATCCACTGGTACAGGTATTAAAACCCTTCTAAACTGTCATCACTCCCATCCTCAAAAAACCTCTACACATCCTATCCCGGCTCCCTAACTACCGTCCTCCCTATCCAACCTCCCTTTCCTCTCCAAGGTACTTGAATGAGTCGTTGCTTCCCAGATTTTCTCTTTCCTTTCCCTTCAGTGAAATCCCCCAAACCAGATTGCATGCTGCCCACACCCTGGTCAAAATCACAAATGATATTCTTTCTATCTGTGATCAGAGCACTCTCTGCCTTTTCATCCTTCTTGACCTCTTTGCGACATTGTCAATCACAGTATCCTTCGCAGCCTCTCCTCTCAGCTCCACCTTCACATTCTGTCCCTTTTTGGTTTCATTCTGACCCTATCCCAGCATCTTCACTTTGTATCTGTCAAGGGATTCTTCTCCCGCCTCACACCATCATGTGCAGCGTTCCTCAGGGCTCTATCCTTGGTCCTCTCTTTCATATCTACATGCTCCCGCTCAGTGATGTCATCCGCAGGCATGGGATTAACTTCCACATGTATGAGGATGACACCAACTCTTTCTCTCCACTCCCCGTCAACCAATCTACGTCCTTTTGCACCGACAGAAAATAATCGTGCCCATTCCCTCTCTGTTGAATTCATCATCTGAACTCCTGCCCCTCTGACCCACTTCCCGCAACGACCTTACATCGTTGGTCACCGTCCTTCACTGTAATCCTGACCAATTGACAACAGACATCCAAATCCTGGAGTCAACTTTCTCTAGCTGAATCTTGCTGATTGCTGATTAGCCACCGACAGTGCCTTCTCACTTCAGGCACAGCAGGATCAGTCTACATGGATGCACTCTCCACTTCTCCATTCAAGTACAGAACCTCAGTGACTTTAAACCCCACATCCGTGCCCTGACCGCTCAGCTTTACCCCACCTCCATAACATTGTCCGTCTCCACCACTGCCTCCCTTCGGGCTGCGAGCCCCATGCTTTCATCATATTCAGCCTTGACAATACAACTTCCTGCTTGCCGGACTTCCCAGCTCTTCTCTCAACAAGCTGTAGCCTATCCAGAACTCTGCAGCTCATGCCATCTCCTGCACTAGGCCTCACAAGCCTTTCGACCCATCCTCACCCAGCTCCACTGGCTCCCCATTCCCCAGGGGATGGAGTTTAAGATGTTTGTCCTCACTTGACTGTGCAGCGCCTTAGATGTACTCCTGAAGTTAAATGCGCAATATAAATGCAATTTGTTGTTGTTGACAAAATATCTGTGAAGTGTAGTGACTGTGATTTGTAAGCGAATGCACCAGTTAACTTACAGGCAGCAATGTGCCACAAACAGCCATTCAGCATTAGTGCCAGAATCAAGGTTTCAAACACGTACCTGCAGTACGTTACTCTCCGCCTCCTCCCCAGTGATAACTTCCACCTTTTCTAACAAGCATTTCTTAGCCGTTGCTTTAGTATAAGCAGCTGCAGATTCCTCCAGTGATTCAGTCACGCTGTTTACTGCTAATAAATAGGAGTAGTCAGTTCACAACAGTGTTACACCAAAACAAAGGTCTTAAGGTATCATCCACATACATGCGAAATGGACCCGGTGTCTACGGATGATGTCACCAAGGGGAGCATATAGATGGTGAAAAGGAGATGGAGGATGGAACCCTGAGGTGAGACAGGGGAAAGAAAGGAAGGTGGAGAAATGAGCAGGAATGGGGCAGGCAGTGGTGATGTGGATGATGACGTTGGCAGTGAGAAATAAGTAGGTCCGCTATGCACATACACAACACGCAAGTTGCAGAGTGCATCCCTTCATAAGCAATTTCACATCTGTGTGTTAGAATGAGGATACACTGCAAAATAAAACATACATACTTACAGTACACAGTGCTAAATCACACCGCAAAATGAAGAGTTTGAAAGCTGCAAAAAGCCTTACCTTTCTCAGGAGTAGCTTCCTGTGATGAGGGCTCAGTCACTGATCCAGCTGCAACAGCCACACTTTCTCCAAATACTTGGTCTTTGCTCCCTTCACTGCTCAAGTCACTTGAGCGTGGCGGACTCTGCAAAACCAAGCCCTCAGTTAGTTGAGCTTAGTTGAGGCACATTGTGATATCAAATGCAAGGATTATTATTGCTTGATCACCGCTCTCCTGTGTAATTATTTTATTTTCCATTTTAATGCACTAGAATGATCATTGGACTGAACTTTACTTATACTCACTGCACGTGTTAAACTGCAGACAGTTTTAAAAATAAAATAAATAAATTCCATTCCCAAAATAAATCTGCTCCGGGCGTTAATGTTCTGCCACTCATTACATCATCACCACCATCGCATCATCACCATCATCGCTTCATCACCATCACATCATCACCATTACATTATCACATCATCACCATCATCACCATCATCACCACCATCACCATCATCACATCATCACCACATCATCACCATTATCATCACCATCATCACATCATCATCATCACCACCATCATCATCACATCATCACCATCACATCACCATCATCACCACATCATCACCATCATCATCACCATCATCACATCATCTTCATCACCACCATCATCATCACCACCATCATCACCACCATCACCTCATCCATAAATAAAAGCAATGACAACAACAACAACAGAATTACATGTATAGAGCGCCTTTTACGTCGGGAGGACGTCTCAAGGTGCTGGACAGTCAAGAGTCAGGATCCGAGCATGGGGAGGGGTGGTGTAGGGGTGAGGGAAGGCAGAGAGGTGGGAGGGAGACCAAAGGCACGGTCGAAGAGGAGGGTCTTGAGACCGGCCTTGAAGGAGGCGAGGGAGGAAGCGAGGCAACGGGACGCGGCATGGAGTTCCAGAGTGTGGGGCAAAGAGGTTGAAAGCCCGGCCACCGATGGTAGGGTGGGTCGGGCGGGAGACATGGAGCAGCCGGAGCCCGATGGACGGAGGGAGCGGGCAGGTTGGTACGGAGTCAGCAAGTCAGAGAGGTAGGAGGGGGCAAGGCCATGGATGGCCTTAAAGGTGAGGATGAGGATCTTGAACTCGATCCTCTGGGGGATAGGGAGCCAGTGGAGTCGGGCAAAGGTGGGAGTGATGGGGTCACGGAGGCTGGTGCATGACATTACACGAGCTGCAGAGCTTTGGATGATCTGCAGCTTGTGAAGGGAAGAGTTGGGAAGGCCGATGAGGAGGGAGTTTCCATAATCGAGCCTTGAGGTGACGAATGTGTGGGTGAGGGTTTGGGGGCCTGAGGGGTGAGGCAGTGGCGGAGTCTGGCAATGTTGCGGCGGTGGTGGTAGGCAGTGCCGGTCATGGTGTGGATGTGGGGGAGAAAGGACAGTTCGGGGTCAAACAAGACCCCCAGGTTCCTGACTGGCTCAGTGAGGTTGAGTGTGCAGCCGTGGAGGCTGTTGCTGCCAGTGCCCGAGGTGCGGAGGCGCTGGCATGAGCCAATCAGGAGGGCCTCGGTCTTGCTGACGTTGAGTTGGAGAAAGTTGTCCATCATCCAGGACTTGATGTCGGACAGGCAGTCGGTCAGGACCCCAGTAGTCCTGGAGTTCAGGGTGGAGGCAGAGAAATAAAGTTGTGTGTCATCCGCATATATGTGGAAATTTCCCCCATGTCTGTGGACGATGTCACCAAGAAAGAGCATGTAGAGGGTGAAGAGGAGGGGACAGAGGTCAGAGCCCTGAGGAACACCGCACAAGACGGTGCGGAGGCTGGAGGAGAAGCCGTTTGCAGAGACGAAGTGGAGGTGGTGTGAAAGGTAGGACCTGAACCAGTCAAGAACAGAACCTTGAAGGTTGAGGTGGGAGGAGAGGCGGTGGAGGAGGATTGAGTAGTCCACAGTATCAAAGGCAGCGGAGAGGTCAAGGAGGTCAAGGAGGCAGAGGGAGCCCTGGTCAGGATGTCATTTGTGACCTTGACCAGAGCAGTTTCCGTGCTGTGGGCAGCACAGAAACCCGATTGGAGGGGTTCATGGAGGGAGTGGGAGGAGAGGAAAGAGCGAAGCACGGAGGCAACGGCTCTCTTAAGGACCTTAATAATAATAATAATAATCCTTGCATTTGATATAGCGCTTTTCACGTCGGGAGGACGTCCCAAAGCGCTTCACAGAACACACTGTAAAGTGAATTGACTGCATATTTGTGGGCGAACGCGGCAGCCAATTGCGCACAGCAATGTCCCACAAACAGTCATAGAATGAAAATAACCAATTTATTATTGTTTTTGGTTTTGGAGGATTATTATTAGGCTCTGTGTGGAGTAAGGAAACTTACTTGGATCGGAAAGGGAGATTTGAGATGGACCGGTAGCTGGATAGCTGTGATGGGTCAAGGGAAGGTTTCTTCAAGGTATGTGTGATAATGGCTGTTTTGAGGGGGGAAGGAACAGTGCCAGATGACAGGGAGAGGTTGATGATGTCGGTGAGTAGTGGGGCAACAACAACAATAAGATTCCATTTATAGAGCGCCTTTCACGTCGGGAGGATGTCCTAAGGCGCTGAAAAGGAGGCAAGGAGGTAGAGCTGGGATTTAAGGAGAGGGGTGGGGATGGGGTCCAGGGAGCAGGACAGAGGAGGGAGTTGACAGGTTCAAAGGTGTGGAAAGAGGGATGGGTAGTGGTCGGAGTGTGGGGTGGGGGTAGAGAGCGGGTGGAAGTTGGGAGGGCAGTGGCAGCTGAGCGGATTCCTTCAATTTTGGACTCGAGTAAGTACAGCATTTCCTCACATGAGAGTCGGAGGAAAGAATCTGTGAGGCGTGGCAGTGAGGGCGGAGGAGCCAGTTGGTGGTGGAGAACAGGAGCATGGGATTGCCTTTCGCCTCCAGGATTAACCTGGAATAGAAGGCCGATTTGGCCGAGACAAGAGTGGAGGGGTGGGTTTGGATGAGGTCCAGTCAGGTGTGCCGGTGGACCGTTAGGCCGGATTTGAGCCAAGTGCGTTCGGCCGCCCGCACCTGGCCCTTAAGCAAGCGGCCGTGGCTGGCGAACCAGGGTGAGGATCAGGAATAAAAGGCAGTTCAGGAGGTGAATGGGGCAAGGGCGTCGAGTGTGGTGGAGAGGGTGCTGTGAAGGAGAGTAAACGCAGAGGATGGGTTGGTGCGGGAGGTGGGCCAGAGGAGTTCAGAGGGCTCCAGGGCAGAGGAGAGGGATTGCGGGGAGATCTTCTTCCACGGATAGTAGAAGATGGTGGTAGGTTTGGAGGCAGTGGGGAGAGGGATATGGGAGGTGAGGGAGATGGTGGTCAGAGATGGCCTTGTCAGTGATGGTGAATCCGAGATGCTGAGGCCCTGGGTGATCACCAGGTCAAGCGGGTGACTGTGGGTTTGGGTAGCAGAGTGGATGTGGAGGGAGAGGTTGAGAGAGGAGATGGAGCAGGAGGGGGTGAAGTGGAGGTTGAAGTGGCCTAGGATGATGAGGCAGTTGGAGCAGAGGCAGAGGGAAGCAAAGAGAGTGGAGATGTCAGAGATGAAGGTGGGGGAAGGATTTTGGTGGGCGGTAAATTAGGAGAATTTTTAGTGAGAGACGAGAGCGATGGCAGAGGGTAAGGTGTTCAAAAGAGGGGAATGAACCAGCGGAGTAGGGGGATAGGGCAAGTGACGCCCTGGAGATGAGGGCAACACCAGTTGGGACATGGAGCTGTAGCTGGGTGGTGTGGCCTCAGTGAGGGGGAAGGTGTCACCTGGGGTGATCCAGGTTTCATTGAGGGCCATGATGTCAATGTTCTTATCGAGGATGCGATCACTGATGGCAGATGGAGCGGACATTTTGAAGTCCAATGCGGAGTGGACAGTTGGCAGGGGGATTTGTGGGATGGGAGCGGGTAGTGGGTTGGTTGCGAGGGAGTGTGGGGATGCGGATGAGGGAGGTTAGCCCCCGGGTCTGGGTCCGGGGTGGCTTGCGGCAGTAGTGGGGAATGAGGCAGTCAGTGTGGCTGCTGCTGGACAGCCAGCGCCGACTGCCACAATGAGCCCGGCGGAGGATTCCCAGGCTGGAGCAGAGGAAGGCAGTGGGGGGGTCAAGCAGAGATAGAAGACGGGGAGGGCGGAGAGAAAGGACAGAGCGGGAGAGTTGAGGGAGATGGTGGTTAGAGATGGCCTTGTCAGTGATGGTGACATCTAAGATGCTGAGGCCCTGGGTGATCACCAGGTCGAGCGGGTGATCGTGGGTGTGGGTAGCAGAGTGGATGTGGAGGGAGAGGTTGAGAGAGGAGAGGGGAGAGAAGAAGTCTGAGGAGGTGGAGCAAGAGGGGGTGAAGTGGAGGTTGAAGTGGCCTAGGATGATGAAGCGGTCGGAGCAGAGGCAGAGGGAAGCAAAGAGAGTTGAGATGTCAGAGATGAAGGAGGGGGGCATTTGGGGGAAGGCCAGCTCGGGTCAGGGATGCGCTGGGACGAGAGGCGGCGGGTTTAGTGGGACATTGTCAGCCTGCAGGAGGCTGTGGGGGCTAGAGGTGGCACAGAGGTGGGAGGGCACTCATTGTGGTTAGCAATGAGCAGCCTGCAGGGGAAGGACAGGGGAGGGAGACAGACAGAGGATGACGAGCTGTCATCACAATGGGAGTTCACAAATTTTTTCCGAGTGTGTGTCTCACCAGTACCCTCTCACTCATGTTCTGCCCAAAGACAAACGTGGGGCTTCCCTCATTGCTCTCAGCATTCTCTGTGGAGGGTGGGCTACAAAACAAGCGAAACAAAAACTAATGTCACCGTTGTGATAAAATTCAGACAGTTCAACTCTAATTGTCACTAGAGTGGACATCAACCACCACGATTTCCAAACCCATTTTTCCTACATGAGAAATCATTCCCATCGCTCCCCTTCCTCCCTCGCTCCCTCCCAACGCATTTCAAAAGAGAAGTTTCTCCCAGTGCAGGATCCTGGCTGATAACCCTCCAGATTGATTCACTTCATGTGTGTTGTGGGATTCTGCTTTGTGTAAAATGGCTGCTGTGTTTGCCACGCTACCTTCCTGTGTCAACAGATTACCACCGTCACTTCCTGCTTTCACAAAAACAACAGCAACTTACATGTGTATAGTGCCTTTCCATAGGCACTATACAAATGTAATTTGTTGTTGTCATCGTCCCAGGAAGTGACATGATTCCCTACAGGCCCAGAAGTCCATTCTTCATTTTAGTACAACAACAACTTGTGCCCTCCACACTGGGCAGTGTCCCAGAGCACTTAGAAGGGGCCAGCACACTTACGCCAGATGCGCAGTCAAAACCTGTATACACACAGGGTGGGATTTTATGGATCCCAAACAAATGTTATAAGAAGGCTGTATGTACGCTGGATGAGACATTAATCTGAGGTCTCATCTGGATGTTAAAGATCCCATGGCACTTTTCAAAAAACGATAGAAGAGTTTGTCTCTCCCAGTGCCTGGCCAACAAACCCCAGATAAAATTGGTCACTCACTCCACAGCTGTTCGTGGAATGTTGCTATGTGCAAACTAGCTGCTGCATTTCTCCCACAAAATACACAGTCAATCCACTTTACAGTAAAGGGCTTTCAAACATATCAACAACGTGATAATGTCAAATGTAAGGATATCAAATGCGAGGAATATTATTATTACTACTTACCCTGTGGCACTTTGCTTGATATACTGGAGGAAGTAGTTGGTTGCTGGTGATATTTCTCCATCTGTAGACCCTCCCTTCACATCACTTGAAACATTATTGGCCTCCATAAACTGAAACACAACACATCACTAATGTCTCAGAAAATAGTGGTGTCTACCTCAACTGGTCTCGTCATCCTGTCACTGTTGGGATGTCCTCCTGACGTGAAAGGCGCTATACAAATGTAATTTTGCTGTTGTTGTTGCTGAAGTGCTGTTACACTATTTGCAGTGCTGATTTTGTATTTATTTCAAACACAGATTAGACAGTATCCTTTTAGGAAATAATATTATGGGATATAGTATATTGGTAGTTTGGGACATATGTCATCTGACCACCAGGAAGGTGGAAGGCGTACTAAATGGACCTTGGTCTTTTCTCATCTTTTCTTGTGTTCTTATGTTATGTTCTTATGTATCAAGCAGGTAAAGACCTCTGAGACGCTATCCTATGTGAAAGGTGATCATGTATCATAGAATCATACCGCACAGAAAGAGGCCATTCGGCTCATCGTGTCCGTGCCAGTTCTTTGAAAAGAACTTCCAATTCAACCCCACTCCCCCCGCTCTCTTCCCATAGCCCTGATCAACCCCACTCCCCCCGCTCTCTCCCCATAGCCCTGATCAACCCCACTCCCCCACTCTTTCCCCATAGTCCTGATCAACCCCACTCCCCCCACTCTTTCCCCATATCCTGCAAACTTGTCCTCCCCAAATAATTATCTACTTCTCTCTTAAAAGTTGTTATCGAATCGGCATTCCAATCCCAACAACTCGCTGTGTGAAAACATTTCTCCTCCCCCCCCCCCCCGTTTCTTTTAACAACTATTTTAAATCGGTGTCCTCGGGTTACCGATCCACCCGCCAGTGGGAATAGTGTCTCCTGTTCACCCTATCGAATCCCCTCATCATTTTGAAAACTTCCATTAAGTCTCCTCTTAACCTTCTCTGCTCCAAGGAGAATAACCCTCACTTCTCTCGCCTCTCCTGATCATTGAAGTCCCTCATTCCTGGTACCATCCTGGTCAATCTCCTTTGCACCCTCTCCAATGCCTTGACTTCTTTCCTAAAGTGTGGGGCCCAAAACTGAACACAGTCTCTACCTGAGCCCTCACCAGTGTTTTATATAAAGGTTCATCATAACTTCCTGACTTTTGTAGTCTATGCCCCTATTTAGAACAAATACAAATGGGAAAGGAAGGCATCCATATCTCCCTGGATGAAATAAGAAATTGGAATTAAAATAAAACAGAAAAGGAGGCTTATGATAAAAGAGGGGCAAAGGGATTGTATGAAAAAAGATTAACTGGTAACATAAAAGGAAACCCTAAAGTATTTTATAAGCATATTGATTACAACAATTTCAGACCATAACAGCTCACCTTCCCCTCCCCCTCTTCTGTGACCATCACCACATCATTTGGGTCCCAGACGCACCTTTCCTTCTGGTCGGCCTGTTTTGTTGCAATTTCTCCCCTCTTTGTTTTGCATCATTAACACCTCTTTAACCCATCATCCCCTGTCCTCTACCCCATTTTCTCCTTTGTCTTCCTTGCCCTGTCTCCCCCCTCTCTGTCAGCCCTTAAAAGCCTCTCCTTCCCAATGTGCTCCAGTTCTGATGAAGGGTCGTGGACCCAAAACATTGACTCACTTTCCTTTCTCCGTAGATGCTGCCTGACCTGCGACTCTGTTTTTGCTTATGATAAATGTCAGGTCCAAAATACAGACGATAATCAAATAGAATATAGGAAGTACAGAGGAGAATTCAAAAAGGACATAAGAGGCGCAAAGAGATTGTATGAGAAAAGATTAGCGGGTAACATAAAAGGGAACCCTAAGATATTTTATAAGCATATAAAGAATAAAAGGTTAGTCAAAGGTAGTGTGGGTCTAATTAGGGACCAAAGAGGAAATCTTCTTCTGGAGGCAAAGGGGATGGCTGACGTACTGAATGTATATGTGATCATATAGCAATTTATTAAATACAAATGTTTCTACCTTTGGCTCAAGATGTCATTATTTGGGCAGAGTAAAGCAGCCAAGGTTTTTTCAAGAAAACCATGTGATGTATACACAGGGGAGGAAACAGAGACAATTTTCAAATATTACATATATTATCCCAATATCCAAGTCCAAATCATTAACCATAAACGTGTACCACATGCTAGAAGGTCTTTGACTGATTTTTTCAAGTTTGCTCTTCTAAGAAGCCATCCATCCTAACTGCAATCCCAATCCCTGGCTCTATACCCATCCCATCTAGCAGCCTTCCTTTGCACATGTCCTTGACTAATTATTTTTAAATGGACCAAATGAAAACATTCAAAAATTCTGAGTGCTTTTTTTTAAAAAATACAATATTCTAGGTGCATTTCCCCCAAAGAGATGACAGCAAATCCTATTTCTACTAAAGGTTAACAACTGAGAAATAATCTAGTTTGCCATTGTTAAACCAGCACAATTTCCTTAAAATGTTCTATGCTGCAACAACCACCAGAGTCAAATAAGTGAGTAAATCATCTCTTCTAGATAATCACTAGTAGATCTAAAAGAGAGTTTTGGAGGAACTTCTTTAAGTATATGGTGATGAGAATGTGGAACTCACTGCTGGAAGCTGTGGTTGAAACAGAAACATCAACATATTTAAGAAGGAAACTTGATGCCCATGTGAGGGAGAAGGAAAAAGGTGGGTATAGGAGTCCATATGGAATATAAACCAGCATGTTCTATTTGGGATGAACGGCCTGTTCTCGTGCTGGACTGTCTATGACATTCCTCATGACAGTCTCTTTGGAATCTGGTGAGGAAAAGGACTGTAGAGGCCATGCACTGGATAGAGGTCTGGATAGTCTGCAGCTTGGCAAGTCCAGCAAACAGAGAGGTGGTGTAGTGAAGCCTGGGCATCATAAAAGTGTGGACAAGGGCCTAGGCTGCTCAAGGGTAGAAGATGGCAATGTTTCGGAGGTGGGGGAAAGCTGAATTGCTCAAAGCACGGATGTGGGGTATAAAGTACAGTTAGGGATCAAACAAGACTCTGAGATTCCAAACCAGCTCTGCGAGGTCAAGTTTGCTTCCGTGCCGGTTGATACTTCCAGCAGCTTCTCACCTCAGGTGCTGAGAGGAGACTGTCAATTTGACATTCAACTGGAAGAAGCTAGAGCTCATCCAGGACTTGGTCCTGGATTCGAGGGTGGAGGCAGAGAGATACATTTTGGTGTCATCCACATACATGAGTAAGTGAACCTCATGTCTATGGATCAGGAGACCAAGCGGGAGCATATAGCTTTTAAAGAGATGACCCTGAGCAATATTGCCATGCATGAGGTGGGTGGAGAAACCGTTTGAAGACAAAGTGGCGTTGCTGGGATAAGTAAGAGTGAAACCAGACCAGGCCACAATTGAGAAAGTGGGGCAGTCAGTAGAGGGGTAGAGAAGGACAGGCTGATTTGAGTGCCGAAGGCGGCAGAGAGAGATTGAGGAGGCAGTGACAGCCCTGGTCACAGATAGAGAGAATGTCATTATGATTTTGACCGGGGCAGCCTTGGTGCTGTGGACTGAGGTGGAAGAAAGATTGGAGGGATTCATGCAGGTAATGCTGGGAAAAGAATCAGCAAAACTGGGAGGCCGGTTTGGAGAGATTAAGTGAACAATGAAGGATGTCACTAACGTACCTTCACTCGATCACGAAGATTCTCCCCAAACACAAAGTTGGCCTGTGCCGCTGGCTGGTCCTCATTCTTGCTCTTCTCCAGAATTTCAGAACCACATTTGGGTTCTGACGAGACTGCTTTTTTTGTGTTCTCCTGAAATTGTAGATAAATCAGTTTAGTTGGACTTTGTAAATAATATGTTTTGGCTAGCTATCATCATGCTTAAGATTATCAAAAGCAGACAGGTTCCACCTACATGTGGAAATATCCCCATATCTGGAAATGTGCAGGACTGATGATAAAGGAGTGACATTTGTGGGATGCTGCTGTGCTCAATTGGCTGCTGCGTTTCGCCCACAAAATATACAATCAATTTACTTTGCAGTATATCCTGTGAAGCGCTTTGAGATGTCTCGAAGACGTGATAAGGCGCAATATCAAATGCAAGGATTATTTTGGGAATTTGTTCGGGAATTGAACCTTTCCCACAATGAAGTAAAGTGGATTTACGATGCACACAATCAATTTACAATGCACTTTGTAAATCCCTTTCATAATCTTGATTTTTTTCCCACTATTTTATTTCCAAAGTCTGTTATTTTTGCAAAAACAAGCCCAACTTTTTTGTTACTTGATTGTGGAGACTGCAGCTCGTGGTTAGAGCCCTCAGTTTGCAAGTGAGCGGACCTGTATTCGATTCTCAGGCAGGGCGAAACGTTGAACAAGTTTCCTTACCCCACATGCCCCTGTTTACCTCGCAGTAAGTAGGAACCCAGTTGTTAGGCAACTGGCGGATCACTTTCAATCCCTTCAATTAATAATCCCTTTTAAAAATAATAATAATATGGTCACTCAATCTACGACTGTTTGTGGGACACTGCTGTGCACACATTACAGTATATTCTGTGAAGCACTTTGAGACAACAACAAAATTATATTTGTATAGCACCAATCTGAGAGGTAGGGTGGGTGCAATTAGGGACCAAAGAGGAAATCTTCTTGTGGAGGCAGAGGGCATGGCTGATGTACTGAATGAGGACTTTGCATCTGTCTTCACAAAAGAAGAGGATCCAGCCAATGCCACAGTATCAGAGGAGACGGTAAAGAGATTGGATAAGATAAGAATATACCGAGAGGAGGGACTAAAAAGGTTGTCGGGGCTCAAGGTGGATAAGTCACCCGGTCCGGACAGGACGCATCCTCGGTTACTGAGGGAAGTAAGGCTGGAAATAGTGGAGTCTCTGACCACAATCTTTCAATTCTCCTTGGATATTGGGGTTGGTACCAGAAGAACTGGAGGGTTACAAATGTTACTCCCCTGTACAAAAAGGGGCAGAAGGATAAACCCGGGAACTGCAGGTCAGTCACCCAGACGTCAGTATTGGGGAAACTTTTAGAGACTATAATCTGGGACAAAATGTGTTAATAAAGCCCACGTGGCAGATGACGGTTAATGTGGAGAAATGTGAAGTGATGCAATTTGGGAGGAAGAATGAGGAGAGGCAATATAAGCTGATGGTACAGTCTTAAAGGGGGAGAAGGAACAGAGAGACCTGGGGATCATATAGTCAATCTTGAACCTTTATAAACACTGGTTAGGCCTCAGCTAGAGACCGTGTTCAGTTCTGGGCCCCACATTTTAGGAAGAATGTCAAGGCATTGGAGAGGGTGCAAAGGAGATTGACCAGGATGATACCAGGAATGAGGGACTTCAGTGATCAGGAGAGGCGAGAGAAGTGAGGGTTATTGTCCTTGGAGCAGAGAAGGTTAAGAGGAGACTTAATAGAAGTTTTCAAAATTATGAAGGGATTCGATAGAGTGAACAAGGAGACACTATTCCCACTGGCGGGTGGGTCGGTAACCCGAGGACATTGATTTAAAATAGTTGTTAAAAGAAACAGAGGGGGAGGGGGTGAGGAAATTTTTATTCACACAGCGAGTTGTTGGGATCTGAAATGCATGGCCTGAAAGGCCGGTGGGAACCGATTCAATAACAGCTTCTAAGAGAGAAGTAGATAATTATTTGGGGAGGACAAGTTTGCAGAGCTATGGGGGAGAGCGGGGGAGTGGGGTTGATCAGGGCTATGGGGAGAGAGCGGGGGAGTGGGGTTGATCAGGACCATGGGGAGAGAGCGGGGGAGTGGAGGTGATCAGAGCTATGGGGAGAGAGCGGGTGAGTGGGGTTGATTTGGAAGCTCTTTTCAAAGAGCTGGCAGAAACACGATGGGCCGAATGGCCTCCTTAAAATTCTATTTCTTGCTTCTGCATCTGCCCAGAGGAGTATTGTGCAATAACCTCTTGTTGTGCTCTATACTGTATAATAAAGCATTAAGGCAGCAATTCCACATAGAAAGGGAGTTTCTCTGGTCCAAAAATCCCCCAAATAAAACTGGTCAGTCACTTCATGGCTGTTTGTGGGATACTGCTCCCATGTTTGTCCACAACTACAGATTCACTACACTTCACAACATATCCTTTGAAGCAATTTGAGAAATCCTCCTGATTTCAAATGTAAGAATTATTTTTATTATTACTACCTTTACAATAACCCATTTCCAATAGTAGGGGAGTCAGTGACCAGGGACCACAGATACAAGATAGTCACAAAAACAGCAAAAGGAGAGTTGGGTGAATATTTTTCACGCAGAGGGTTGTTAGGATGGGGAAAGCCAGAGTCCAGTGTGGGTTTCAACAACAACAAATTGCATTTATACAATGCTTTTCACCTCAGGATGTCCCAAGGTACTGGACAGTCAAGGGTTTGCACCCACTCTGGGGGTTGGATCCAAGTGGGGGGTGGGAGGATGATCGAAGGGATGGTCAAAGTATAAGTTCTTGAGACAGGCCTTAGCAAGGGACAGAGTGAAGCCAGAGGGTTGGGGGAACAAGGCTGAAGGCTCAATGGCCGATCGTGGAGGAGGAAGGGTGGGGAACATAGAGCATGCCAGCCCCCAATGATTGGATGGAGCAGGCAGATTGATATGGTTTTAGTAGGTCGCAGATGTAGGGAGGAGCAAGATTGGAAGGCGTTGAGACATCTAGAAGTGAGGACAAGGATCTTAAACTCTGGGGAATGAGGAGCCAATGAAACCGGGCAAGGATGGAGATGATCAGCTCACGGAGCCTGGTGAGGGAGAGGTTACGAGCTGCAGAGTTCTCCAACAACAACATGATTGCATTTATAGAGCGCCTTTCACATCCGGAGGACGTCCCAAGGCGCTGGACAGCTTGGTCGCGACCCGAGCAGGGGGGAAATGGTCAGAGTGAGGGGAGTGAAGGGAGGGAGCGAGGAGGGGGTAGAGAGTTAAGAGGGGAGCTGAAGGCACGGTCAAAGAGAAAGGTCTTGAGACCGGCCTTGAAGGAGGAAAGGGAGGAAGCAGCGAAGGCACTGGGGGATGGAGTTCCAGAGCCGAGGGGCTGAGAGGCTGAAGGCCCGGCCACCGATGGTAGGACAGTTGGGGCGGGGGATGTGGAGCAGACCGGAGCCAGAGGAACGGAGGGTAAGGGCAGGTACGTGGGGGATAGTAGGTCCGAGAGGTAGGAGGGAACGAGGCCGTGAATGGCTTTGTAGGTGAGGATGAGGATCTTGAATTCGATCCTCTGGGGGATGGGGAGCCAGTGGAGGCGAGCGAGGGCGAGGGTAAGGGCAAGGGCGAGGGCGAGGGTGAGGGTGGGAGTGATGTGGGCGCGGTGTCTGGTGCGGGACAGTACACGAGCTGCAGAGTTCTGAATGACCTGCAGTGTGGAGGGAGGGCCGGAAAGGCCGGCGAGGAGAGAGTTCCCATAGTCCAGCCGTGAGGTGATAAAGGCGTGGACCAGAGTTTCTCCAGCCTTGTGGAAGGAAGAGTTGGGAAGTCAAGAGGGAAGTAGACAGGTATATGAAAGACAGAAGCTTGAAGGGGTTGTGGGGATAGAGCGAGGCAGCAGGATTGAATGATCAGCTTGCTCTGAGAGCCGTGCAGTCTTAATGGGCTGTAAATTGCCAATGTGAGAGGCGCTATCTAAATGTAAAGTTGTTGGAAATTTCTATGAATCTATAACCACTTTCAGCACATTGTACTCATTCATGCTCCCCGTAACACTTTGGTTTCTTGCCTTCAAACAATTTTTTGTACACGTGGTAAAAACATTCCTGTCTGTGATACTGACCATTTGTGACTTGTAAGTTCATTATTCACCACTTGTCCAGTGTATTCATTATATACAATTTATTTCTCTTGGCTTCTCATGCAACCATATCTACATGTTTCCAGACACATAATGTATAACTGGTAGCTAATTAATCATTTTGTTCAGAGTCGTTTTACATACCACATGAGTGCTGGTGGCTGGGGATAGGTTGATTGATGGAGTCTCTGTATCCGACAAGCTATTCAGGGCTCTAGGAGAGGCCGTGGTTCCTTCTTCAGTTTGTTTGCTCACACCATTGGTGCCACTGCTGGTAACTGGAATATATATATAAAAATAACATTGTAATTCTATTCAACATCACAGCAGTCAATGTACAGAACCTTAATAAGCTATTTGACAAGGATAGTTCTGAGCAGTAGATATGCCTGGAAGAGCTAGGCTCTTGTCAAGCAGCATCTTTTGTGCTCCATTTTACAAATGACAGCTTCTCTTAAGAGTCAGACTACTGGTGCAGATCAAACTCTACTGTCCAGTAAATAAAGAGTCTCTGCAATACAAGATACTGTAATTGTGAGCGCTCATCAGCAACGAAACTCTTCAAATAAGGAGACAATTCTTCACTCATTCTGCACACTTGCTAGATTGCTAAAGTCACTGGATAAAAGGATCTTGTTGAGTATCCTTATTAAGAGATTTCTACAGAAGAGTACTTTGATGGAGTTTACAGCACAGTTGGCCCCTCTGTTTGGCTCAGCTCCCTCTTTAAATTGTAACTATCGTATGAAATAATCAATGGATAACCCTCAAGAAGTCAATCACTGCGTGAAGGAAACAGGAATTTCCCTCAAAACATGAAAAATCACACACAAATTGCATCATTTGTTGTTACTGTCCCGCCTTCTGGGTAAACAAATTGATTTATTTTCTTGTAATTTAAATTTCCTGTTATGTATAAAGTAGAATTCTGAATACGGATCATGATTTATGCAGAAACCCTGGCGTGGACATCCAACGGAAGTCTCCATTCCATGGCCACAATCCGGGTTTCAGATCTCACACTCTGAGTATTCTGCTAGCAATAACAGCTTTGTTACATTTACCCAGTATTTCATTCTGCGACTCTCACTTTTGAGTCCTGGATATTGAATCCCATGGAACTATAGTAAGCAGTTGGGGAGTATGTCAGCAGCAACAGCACTCTGTACTCCCAGTAACAGGAAGTCGAGGAGGAAATACAGGAAAATGTCACATACAACAACAACAACAAGATTCCATTTATAAAGCGCCTTTCACGTCAGGAGGACGTCCCAAGGCGCTGCACAGTTGGGTCATGACCCGAGCAGGGGGGAAATGGTCAGGGGGAGGGGAGGGAGCAAGGAGGGGGGAAATGGTCAGGGTGAGGGGAGGGAAGGGAGGGAGCGAGGAGGGGGTAGAGAGTCGAGAGGGGAGCTGAAGGCACGGTCAAAGAGAAAGGTTTTGAGACCGGCCTTGAAGGAGGAAAGGGAGGAAGCAAGGCGAAGGCACTGGGGGATGGAGTTCCAGAGCCTGGGGGCTGAGAGGCTGAAGGCCCGACCACCGATGGTAGGGCGGTTGGGGCGGGGGACGTGGAGCAGACCGGAGCCAGAGGAACGGAGGGTACAGGCAGCTAGGTGGGGGGATAGTAGGTTGGAGAGGTAGGAGGGAGCGAGGCCGTGAATGGCCTTGTAGGTGAGGATGAGGATCCTGAAATCAATCCTCTGGGGGATGGGGAGCCAGTGGAGGCGAGCGAGGGTGGGAGTGATGTGGTCCCGAAGCCTGGTGCGGGACAGTACACGAGCTGCAGAGTTCTGGATGACCTGCAGCTTGTGGAGGGAGGTGGCGGGAAGGCCGGCGAGGAGAGAGTTCCCATAGTCCAGCCTTGAGGTGACAAAGGCGTGAACATATGGGTAATTGATACTTATCATCTATCCAAAATTGCCAAACTTCCCATCCAACAATGATCCTGTAGACAAACCATGTCAATCTCAATTTTGCCTTGTAATGGGCAGATTGCAAATCCCAGAGTTCACAATTTAATAGATATCATCACTTCTCCTCATTTTGTAACAACTGTTAGCTATGGACATAATGTGAGAGTGTTGATGAGAATCAACTCTAACAATACCAATGAACAAACCACTAAAAAGCAATGGACAATAACACCAAACGCAACTAGACAGTGCTAGCTTCAAAATGATCTCCTTGTCAGAATCCCCAAACTGTGTTAAACATTTATAAATAGACAAGTGCCCAATATTCACAAAGACAAACTGATGGCACATTATAAATTCCTGGCAAGTTCAACTATTCATTGGGACATTGATTGTTTCAGTAAAGTAACTGTCCAAACTCATGTCACTGGCTGAGGGTTAGGTCGTGGCAACATCATACCTCACATTAACCAACCACCATCAGGGGTCACAAATGAAGCACGAGTATTTCAGAAACTATTTGTCAATTCTTATTGAATTGTGGTGAGTTTTCCTCAGATGTATGACTGCCTACAGATAAACTAAACATATCACCATACACAAACTGTAAAGAGTGCTTCAAAACTATATAGTGTATGATCACACCAATCATGTGTCTCAGCCTGGCTCACTCTTGCCTCTGAATTAAAGGTTGTGGGTTCAAGCTCCACCTCAGGATATGAAATCAAATAGTCTAAGCTGGGGGAGGGGATGGGGTGTGCGTCGGAGGTGCCATCCCTTGGGTGAGCCATTAAACTGAAGTTATGACTACCTGTCGAGGTGGTTGTTAAAGACCCCATGGCACTATTTGACTAGAGAAGGGTATTTCTTCTGGTGTCCTGGCCAACAAATCTTCAAAATATAACCTTCATGGCTGTTTGTGGGACATTGCTCTGCAAAAACTGGCTGCTGCACATTGCCCACAAAATACACAGTCAATCCACTACACAGTATATCCTGTAAAGCACTTTTGAGACGTCTCAATAACATGATAAGATGCTACATCAAATGCAAAGACTATTATTATTATGATGTATTAATCATCAAGAGCAACATTTGCTACTGGTCCTAGGCTTGTCCACATTCGCTCACTCACAAAAACCTAGAGCACGGTCAATGAACAAGCTAAGATAAAGCCAGCAAATCAATCATTCAAGGCTAGCCTGTTTCCTTTTCAATTCAGAGCTTTTCAATGTTGCTGAGTTGAAAGGACTGCAAACGTTGCCACTGTATCAGAGACTATATTACAATCGAGTGATATGTCTCGGAAACAGACCATTCACAGCCGGACAAGTACTGGTCATCTTGTTTTTCTCATCAGAAAGGGAAAGATAAATCAATTCTGATTTGTCACTCAAATCACTGAATGCCGGGACTCTCACCTTAAAATTCAAAGCATTTCACAAGCGACCGCTAATATTTACACAGACTGCAAGGATATCGCATAATAACACAAGGTTTCTGCACCGGCTGGGCAATATCCCAATTGAAAGAATTGAATGAGAATTCGCTCAATGGCCCTGTAGAGTTATCTTGTTAACAGATCCCACCCACCAAACAGCCAGAGCAGCCAAGGCTGAGCTCTGTTACACCAAGCTTGGTGTTACACCCACAGGCACAAACTACAGCAGGTACAATTCTAAAGAGTGGTTGTAGTTTTTCATCTCCTGTTTATAATACAGCTTCAAAACTCACCCAGTACACAGCTGCTAACCCTGATACCTGTGCAGCACAGAGGACTCTCACACAAGGAAAGCATCCTTACCATTCACCAGAACATATGCATCTCCAAGCTCACAACTCAAGAGAGCATCAAACTGATTCAATACAACGGTTTCACATTCCCTTCTACTGTATACAGGAATCCTCAATCAAGTGGGTCCACCCAACATACAAATGCTGTTCTCGATGAATAAATATCCTTATCCAATATTCCAAGCAAACAAGTCATTGTGATTCAATTATATATTAGTGATAATAGTTATATAGTGATTCAAACACATTCATTGTGATTCAATTATATAGCTGTTCCAATAAATCTGGCTTACATGGAGAATTATGTATGCAGAACTGACAAGAGAAAAAGTGCACAAAAGGGCAAGTTGTTCATGTAAAAAATCTGCACAATGCCAAAAAGTGAAGTTGCTCATGGTAGATCAGCTTACATTAGAATACACAATATATCAGCATTGATGCATTTCACACACTGCAGATGCCTAACGTCTCCTAACTTCCCATGTTACTTCCTTTACGTGAGGAAGTACTGTGTTTGTTGTTTGTTAGAACAGGATCTGTACCATGGCGTGCTTTGACACTAACAATCACTGAGCTGCATTAGGAATGCCGTTCACTAACAGAGAAGAAATTCAAGATGAGTAATTCCATGGAGTTCCAAAGCACTGCAGCCTCAGCACGAGCCCAAAGGTCAGTTAGTTCAATTCCTCTCTTCGTTCTTCCATTGCCTTTTCCCTCCACTTCTCTTGCTTCTTTACTCCCACCACCATTTTGTTACTTCTCATTTATTTTTTCTCATTTGATTCAGATTTCTCTGATTTTAATTCCTTCCATTCTTCTTTTGTATCAATATTTTTTTAAATCATGTCTTTAATCCTCCTTCCTTCTCTGGGATGGTCAGTTGATGGCTTCCTTTCCTGTCATTTTCCTCATACCCAGTGTACTGAATCCTGGTCCTGTGAAGTGAAACTCCAGCCACTACAGAAGTCACCAAGTCCCAGATGTGGCAGTGAGCAATTAGAAGCACATGATCCATACAACGCAAGGTGCTGTATATGGAGTTTACAGATAGATGAAGATAGAGCTCTCTGGGACATTATGTCTGCCACAATCCACGATTTAATTAAAAGTCTCAGAATCCAGACCATCTTTGTGCATATTATAATACAAAGCTGAATATCCTGAGTGCCCCACTTCCGGATGTGATTAGGATGCTCCAAATGTTTTCCACATGTTCAATGGGAAGTGGGTTGCTGATTATGCCTTGGTTCGTAGAAAGAAAGGTAGATCAAACAGTTCTTTTTGCAGCTCAAGCAAACTCTTCAGTAGTTTAAACCTGAATCCCAGCCTTGTAAATGGTATAACTACCCAGATGCTCTTTGGATTTGGATGAACAGCCTCTGTGGACATTGGGGATTTAAAAAAGGTACTTTCTGCCACAATTTAAACTTGAATTGAAAGCATTCCCCAAAATAATGCTCAACTTTAAAAAAAATCTGCTTAATCTGCATGTACATTGTGACTAGTCATTTGGGGAGGGAGTTGAGAGGGTTTTCTTGCTTTGGTAAAAGGGGAGGTGGGAGGGAGGGAGGGAGGCAGGCAGGCTGGCAGGGAAGGGAAGGGGAGGGAATGAAACAGAAGAATTTCATGTTTGCTGCTGGCATTGGTGAAGCAGCTCACATGGAGATTGGAGCTTTTCTCACTGTCATTAGCCAAAGCCAGATCACAGCAGGTCCCACAATTGACAGCTCTGATTGCAGCAAACAAATATCAAAATTAAATAATTGCATTTGAAATGGATTTCTCTTCCAGATCTGGTTTATTTTGAGGAGTTTCTTTCAATTCAATAGATGAATTTGTTGTAATCGAAGGCAACTTTTAGGGAATATGCAGCCGAGCAGCAGCTTGTAACAATCTCCCAGAGGTTATACAGTACAGAGAGCAATCGCACTGCCAGCCAGTTACCGTTTTGTGTATTGGGCTTCGGCTCTGGTGCCTGCAGGACGGCCGGACGTAGAACGCTCCGCTGCTGCTCCTTAGACGTCTGACTAGGAAGACCTGAAAAACCAAACAACTGATTTGATATCACCTCAGCTTGGTTTGTATTCAAGCATATTGCTCTGAATAAAGCTGCAATTCTAGTACAACATTGTGTTGTAGTATTATGGAGAACCATTCCAAAGCCACTCAGGTGCCAACTTCTAATTTAGAACATCAAAGTATGTGGTCCCTGCTTTGCAACAATTGGGAAGCCAACCATGTTGCATACAAAGCAAAAGAGTTCAATGTCCAAATCTTCCAAGTTTGCAAAACACTCAGTGACTACCAAATCTGGCAAAACAGAGCACCTCAAGACACCCTACATTGCCAGCACAGACAGGTGTGTGCCAAAGCCAGGAGCAAAGTTAGCCAATAACATCCTGTGCTGAACTCCAAGGTTTACAAAGATCATCATATCAGGAGGATTATTGGGTCTGGCAGACATGGGAGGAAGCTCACACTATTGCACTGCAGATCAGCAATTGATGAGTTGATGCTTTCAAAGTTTGGGCTTCTTATAAAATTCTGCTCATGGTCACACAAAAGGCCCAGCTTGGTGGGAAACAATTGACCAAGGTATATCATTGTGTAAATGGTCACATGATGAACAAGTTCCTTGTAGAAATGATAGTTGTACCACCAGTGGGTTGTGCTGTTCAACTCCGCCCTCCACAAGTGAGGAGAAACATTGGCTTCCACACACAACCGGAAACTCAGCAAGTCAATGAAAAAGTCCTTTATTCTGAAAAGCTAAGCTTGTTTTACAAAGCTCCATGAACAGGGTTAGGAACACAATATGTTGTTCTGTACTCTCTATTAAAGAAATCACTCCTGGGAAACATTCCAAACCCTAGTCAAGTAAGCTAGTTGACGTTTGGAATGTATACTGCAGTAAGATACATAACTATTGCCTAGAGATCAATCCACCAATGTGGGGCAAGCACTTACCCTTGCATTATAGCTCCAGTTCACCAGAGTTTCTATTGTGTGTTATTATGAGTACAGCAAAACTCAGTGAGAACAAGGGAGCAGCTCTTTGTCTCACCACCACTGTGGAGCACAAACATGAGCTACATTGGCTTGGAAGCACTTTGAAAGCTTTGAATCTGAATGTTCAAGGCACCAGCAATCTTCTAGGTCCAAACTGCAAATCGGATCTTATGTCCTCCACATTGAGGCTGTAGCCCTGTATCTCCTTGAGGCTACTGAACAGCAAGGGGAGGCAATAGCTCAGTTCAGTGGGTGACACGAATTGCAATGACTGATCCTTGCAGCGACTAATTTAAGATAAGATTTAAGATTTGGAACATTTCAGCTCATCTTGTGCTGTGTACAAACTGAATTGGTTACAACAAACGAAATGTTTCCATGGTGCACAACTGACCAACCTGCTATGCTCGTAGTGAGACAGGGATCAGTTTCACCCAGAAGCATAGATTTCACATCTTTATTCGATAGAATTACTAGTTTGACACAGATCCAAAGTGCATAAATTTGTTACATTCCAAAATGTGATCACTAAGCCTGATGCTGTATTGCATTATATTTGGCTATTGTATTGTAAGCAGAGAAAGCAGCAATTTGTGGGCAGCGAAAGCTGCTGACAGCCGAGAGCAGCACCCAATAATGAAACACCTTCACTCAATCAATTAAAGCTTCTGTCTATTAACAATAGTTTCAACTACATGGAACTGAACTTCTCATATTGTCATTATTTTGCAAACAAAAATCCCCTAAATGTTTATTCTATAGAAACACCAAATATTCCCAAACAACCAAGGTATGTACATGGCTGATGCCAGTCTGCCGTCATCCACCGCACCAGTGCAGTGTAGACACTGGAGCTCACTTGAGATAAATGTATAGATTTATATAAACGGATACATTCCCACAACTCACAAAAACTACTTTGAATTTTTAAGCAAAAATTGGCTTGTACTAGTAAAACTCTGACTTATAGAGGTTCACACAAGATGGCAAACTCCAGTTCTGTGCATATGAGAATATCACGGCCACAATCTGTAACAGCCACAGCCTCTTGTAAACATGAGGCTGTGATTCTGTTTAGAGAAGTGTTCTGTTTTTGGTTGGCAGATCACCATTTTGAAAACATTCCACCTTGCTCTGATCGTCCTGTTAGGACATTTTTCCACTTGATTTTGTGCATATTAGCATCATCGCCACCAAAAGTCAACAGTGGCACAAACAAAAGCTCAGCCTATCGGACAATCTCTAAATGGCTGTTTTAGACAACTGCAGGCATGATGAAACAGACCTTAATCTTTGCCCATTACTGAGGTAGCGAAGGGAATACTCTACAGATTGCAGAAAGCATGCACAAATATCCAAACTAACTCATAAGCTGCTGTTGTAGTGTTCCATTGGAAAATATTTAGATAGTGCAGCTTTGAGGTCAAAGTCAGTCTGGATGGAAAAGGCCCTTTGGCCCATCCGATTCCTCCAGAATACCCGCCCTACCTTCCTCCCAGCATCGAACGCTCTCTTAAATGAGTCCCAGTGTCCTGGCCACAACCACCCTTTCTGACAACTGATTCCAGTCATTAATTACCATTTGACAAAAGAAAAACCTTGTGGTGCCTGTTCTATAATTGCCCATTATAACTCTAAATATGTGGCCTCTTGTTCTACTGTTTTAATACATCCTAAAGTAATGATCTGGGCTTACTTTTTCAATCTTATTTAAAATGTTATGCATCTCTGTAAAAGTCATCTTTTCTCAAGACTGAAGAGCCCCAGCTTGCCTAAACATTGCTCACAGCTCATTCCTCTATTGGGGACCAGCCTCGTTGCTCTCCTCTGTCTCTAACACTGGGGACCAGCCTCGTTGCTCTCCTCTGTCTCTAACACTGGGGACCAGCCTCGTTGCTCTCCTCTGTCTCTAACACTGGGGACCAGCCTCGTTGCTCTCCTCTGTCTCTAACACTGGGGATCAGCCTCGTTGCTCTCCTCTGTCTCTAACACTGGGGACCAGCCTCGTTGCTCTCCTCTGTCTCTAACACTGGGGACCAGCCTCGTTGCTCTCCTCTGTCTCTAACACTGGGGACCAGCCTCGTTGCTCTCCTCTGTCTCTAACACTGGGGACCAGCCTCGTTGCTCTCCTCTGTCTCTAACACTGGGGACCAGCCTCGTTGCTCTCCTCTGTCTCTAACACTGGGGATCAGCCTCGTTGCTCTCCTCTGTCTCTAACACTGGGGACCAGCCTCGTTGCTCTCCTCTGTCTCTAACACTGGGGACCAGCCTCGTTGCTCTCCTCTGTCTCTAACACTGGGGACCAGCCTCGTTGCTCTCCTCTGTCTCTAACACTGGGGACCAGCCTCGTTGCTCTCCTCTGTCTCTAACACTGGGGACCAGCCTCGTTGCTCTCCTCTGTCTCTAACACTGGGGACCAGCCTTGCTTTTCTCCTCTGCAGTGTCTCTATGGCCTGGGCAGCCCCTGATGTCATAGTGACCAGTACTGTCTGCAGTAATCTGTGTGTGGCCTAACCAGCCACTGTATAGCCTGAGGGTGATGTCTGGGGATCTGAAATCACTGATTTAACAATATAAGCAGGGTTCTGTTTCCTGGTAAGGCAATTATCTAACTAACTAAAAATTCCAAGACCCATCTCAAGACCCTCCTCTTCGGCCGTGCTTTGGTCACCCTCCCATCCCCACTCTCCACCCCTCCTGATCCCAACCTCTAGCTTGGGTGCAAATCCCTGAATGTCCAGCATCTTGATACGTCCTCCCGATATGAAAGGTGTTACACACTTAATTTGTTGCTGTTTGTTTGTTTCTTGTTTGAAGTTGCTAAAATGCCGAGTGTGTCCACTCTTCCCAACTATAATAATAATCCTTGCATTTAATACAGAGCCTTATCAGGTCTTCGAGACGTCTCAAAGCACTTCACTGAACATACTGTAATGTGAATTGACTGTATATTTTGTGATGTCCTAACTACAGCAAGGTTTGTACAATAACATTGCAAATGGTACGTACACAACAGCTGACTAGCCTTTTTATTCCATTCATTGGGCGGGTGCGGGGAAATTAGCTGTAAACTTCGCAATTAGAAAGTACTTTTTATTCAACACAGCCAGACTGAACAGCGGTCATTCCAGTACAATGAAACCATAGTAGCTCCAGCACAAACACACTCTGGGATAATTTCTACAAAGTTAATTTTTAAAAGCTAAAGCAAAGAAATATGAAAACAAATTTTCATGAGAACAGTATTTAGATATACACAAATAAGTCAATCGCTGCAGAGACAGAAAGGCCATTGGCATACATTGAGGATAGATAAAGAGGATTGTATAAACAACGGTGAAGAAGAAACAAAATAGATATACAGATGGAATTATTTTTACCAGAAACTCCCCCACTTTCACCAATAATATATTGGTGAAGCATATCCAAGGTTTCAGCACACCTTGTTCAATAATACACTGATGGTATTCCAAGTTCGCTGCCCACCAATCTAAACTTTTCATTATGAACAGCATTTGTTTCAAACAAGTAACATGTTGGGAGCAGAGAAGATTGCATTCAAATTCTGCTTGTATAATGATGCTAATTGACGTAAATAAAGTGACTTGGTGTCAGATGAACAGACTTCTATAAGATTGGTTAAAACCTGATTTGGTCTTTGAGGTCACAAGCCCATATTTTATCTTATAAAAAATAGCAAAGTGCAGTACTGAAGTGATCCACTCTCACACACAGCAAAACCTGTCCAGCCTTCTACATGCTATCCTGGGCACGGAGTGGCCCCAATCATGCCGAGTGAAAAATCCAATATATTTAAGTATTTAAATGACACCTGAATGATTCAATACAAATTGTTACAAGCATGTAGCATTGTTAGAGCTTCGGTCAATTATTAAGAGACACTTGTCAATTCCAAACACGAGTTGAAGTTGGGTCCTCATTTGAAAGAAACACTTTGAATTCAGTTGAAAAGTTTGGTTCCATTCTGGCAAAGTTATTCAGTCAGCCACCACTTGGGCATAAATGTC